TTACATATGAGAAAATTATAACCAATATCAACCCAACCTCGTTCATCGATTTGATAATCTTGAAGATCTTTTATTTTTTTAATACAATCTTGTTGATTCATAACTGTTTGGGAATCATTCAATCGTCTTATAACAATATGTGTGACCGGATATGTTTTTAAATTCTCACGACTTAGATAGGGTCGTGCATTCCAGCTAGATCGATTTAATATATTGGTATAACCTACAAGAAATACATATAGCAAAATGTGTATTTTATACTTGTTTAAGAAAGAATAGTGTAATCTAGATATATCAAATTTTGTAAATTTGTTATCTACAACATCAGTTCATTACCGAAGGAAAGAATGAATTTTAATTAATTTCTTTAACAGCCAAAAGATATATATATACTAGGTTGGAAATAATATTCTTCTAGAGGAGTACCGCTATGATTTCAAATAGATTAACCTTTTGATTCTCATAGTATCAAAAAGGCTACACCTGTTTTATAATTATTTTACATAACATAATTTATATAAATTAGTATGTATTCTCTTGGAAAGAAATAATAAAGAGTGTTCTAGAATCCGCTTCCACTATCTGTAAAGGAGATATATAGTCGTTCATGTGTTTCTGTGTAAAATGAGTTAATCTAACAGTCTACTTCAATTGGAACCGGCAGAAATAATTTGGGACTGGAAGGATTAAATAGTAAGTTTTATATCGAATGAAAGCCCGTCAAAAATGGGATTTATCCATCGCATAAATACGAACTATAAAGATTATTCGCAGTCGAACTTTAACAATTTCTAGAAATTTATGAACCACAGTCATAGCAAGATTTTCTGTTACGGGAGCGAGATTAAATTAGCTGTGGAATAAAACTATTTAACATAGCAAAGTTAGGTTTATTTTGTATCATCTATTAGGCATAAAAAGTAGAGACACTTTTGCTATGTTAAATAGTTTTATCCTACAGCTAATTTGATATCTCTTCCGTAGCAGAAAATTTTATTTTGACTGTGGCTCATTGATTTCTAGAAATTGTCAAAGTCCAACTGCAAAAAATCTTTATAGTCCTTATTTATTCGTATGGATAAATCCCATTTTTGACGAGCCTTCATTTGATATAAAATTTATTGTTTACTCTATTTGAAATCATGCCGATAGTTCCCTAGAAGAATATTATTTTCCAATCTAGTAGAACAGGTATTTTAGCTGTTCGTTGCTAAGAAACAAAATCACTTTTTTTGCATTTAGGAGAAGTCTGTTTAACAGGTCAGCCATCAATAAATGCGGTACTCTATGGATTTTATACAGACTCGAACTACATAGGAGGTACATACAAGTAAATCGGAAGTCCTTTCTCAGGTTTCCTATGTATTTCTACTTTCTAGAATATCCATAAACTATTAATAGTGCCGTTCTTGTTGTTTATTATGTGATAAACTTTCAGATATCTGAAAGCTAGAAAGTGATACCCATGAAATTGGAGAAGTTGGGAAAAGATTTCATACTTTTAGCTTATTTTATTGTATTACTTTTACCTGATGGTAATTGATATTCGAAAGTCTCATCTGTGTCTGATGTAGTCGTTGCATTTTTCGTGGAATTTTTTCTAATAGCAAAAGTAAAAACAAATGTAAAAGTTAAACCCAAAAGAACACCCAATATCAAAAGTCCAATGATGCCATAAAAAAGATATCTTCGTTGTTTGAATTTTATATATGCTTCGGCATCTTTGATATCGCTATCACATGATGACAATGATGATCCTCTTGATGTTTTATCTGCTGACACTTTAATAAACAGAATCAAAAGAAGAAATTTTCTTCGAAATATACAACAAAAAACATACTATTTTCTAATTCATTTTTACCATCATCAGGATCTTCACATTCTTCTAATTCAATTTCAATTGAAATTGATGCTGTTGGATCATCAAGATAATTTCGTTTAATTGCTATTACTTTAAAAACGGTAAATGGAATAATTAAAACTTCTTTTTCATCTGGTTTTGTTGATAAACTTTGTATATTGATAGCTGTTGAATTTTGTTTTATTAAATATTGACATAAACACGAATATTGTAATGCACAATGATCTTTAGGAGTATATCTCATTTGAGATTGTTGACCTTCACCAGCAAACATTTCTGCTACTTGACGATTAATAGATGTTGATAAAAATGCACGATTTAATATATGTCGATTTAATTGATATTGATTTAAATCATTTTGTGTTATTCTCATCCCACGATAACATATACCTTGATATCGATATTGAGATAACTTTGGATGATAAATTAAAAGTGTAACAATATGAACAAGACAATTGACAAGACGATAATTTGATGAAAACGTTTTTGTTTTATCGATATATTCTAATATATACAAAGCTAAATCTTTATTTAATACTTTATAAAAAAAATTTGTTGATGTATAAGCTTTGATAAAATATGTTAAGTAATCTTGTTTTTCAATGGCTTCTTTGAAATATTCTTCAATAGTTTCAATTTGTTTACGGGTGGTTTCATCGTTCAAATTACTCGTGTCATTATTTTGATTGATCAAATATTCATTTAAATAATAATGAATAACTTCAGCTAATAATTTTGATACTAAATGATGATTGTCATAATTTTTGTATAAATCAATAGCTTGACGGAATTCGCGTCGTTTTTCAAGGAGATCAACTCCAATCATTGACCATTCAATATAATCATAATCATTATATA